TTGGAGGGGAAATACATACGTGTTGATGGTTGCTGGAGGGTTAGGGTAATATGCGGAGTCCATAATCATGATCCTGCATTGCACCTTGAAGGTCACCCTTATGCAAGGCGATTATCAGGAAATGAAGTCGAATTGGTGGAAAATTTGTCAGCGATGCATGTGAAACCACGAGATATTTTAACGTCGGTGAAGATGCAAAATCCGGATAATGTTTCCATCACAAAAACCATATACAATGCACGCCAAAAATTCCGGATGATGGATAATGCAGGTAAAACTCAAATGCAAGTTGTTATGTCTTTTTTACATAACAATGGTTATGTGCATGAGAGTCGAACTAATAATGCAACAGATGAGTTAGAAGATTTATTCTTCGTTCATCCTAAATCTATGGAGAAGTGGCGTGCATTTCCACATGTCCTGTTGATAGATGCAACCTATAAAACAAATAGGTACTCGATGCCTCTCGTCGAAATGGTTGGTGTAACTTCGACCAACATGACATTTTGCATAGCGTTCGCCTTCATGCACAAAGAGAATGAGTCCAATTATACTTGGGCATTAAATTGTCTCAAAGCCACAATTGAGGGATGCATTACCCCGCGTGTTATCGTCACGGATCGAGAGTTGGCATTGATGAAAGCATGTAAAAATGTGTATCCGGATGCTAAAGGATTACTTTGTAGATGGCACATCTATAGAAGTATTTTGAGAAAGTGCAGGGCATCGATCCCCTCAAACCATCATTGGGATTTATTCTACAAATCATGGAACGCATTAGTTGAGTCTCAGACTCATGAATCATATATGTTCCATTTAGCTCAAATACAAGCAGTTTTGGTTGACTTTCCAGGTATTATTCGATGTATATTTTAATATTTTTTTTAACAAGGCATATTTGTTCAACTACTGTAATTATTTCTTCAATTATTCACATTTTCAGGTGTTTTTGGTTATATTGATGATAATTGGCTGCAACCGTATAAAGAAATGTTTGTATCTGTTTGGACTGATCGATATCTCAATTTTGGAAATCACACCACGAACAGAGTTGAGAGTCAGCATGCCAAGTTAAAAAAATACTTGGAGTCATCGCAGTCAGATTTGGAGACATCATTGGTTTATATCGACAGAGTCATTCAGTCACAGGACACATCCATCAAAGCAAGTCTTGAACAAAGCAAAATTTTGATTCGACATCGGTTCAACACGTCACATTTTCAAGAATTGCGAGGATTTGTGTCTATTCATGCACTGAATCTCATTTTTAATGAGTTTGAGAGGTCACGGGCTGGCGGGATTACTTTTGAAAATTGTGGATGTCGATTGCGAACAAGTTGCGGGCTTCCATGTGCACACGAGCAGGTAACATATTTTAACTGTGGTAAGCCTATCCCACTTGATTCGATTGATATCTTTTGGAGGAAGCTCGACTTATCATCTTCCATCTCTCTAACCAATGAAGATTTTGGTGTTGAGCATGAGCTTCATATGTTTAAGGATCAGTTCAAGAAACAATCAAGAACCGGTAAATTCAACATATTGAGAAAGTTGAGGGAGTTGATCGCGCCATCTACAACTTCGATCCGTGAGCCACCCGTGCAAATAAATGTTCGTGGGCGTCCCACTTCAAAAAACAAATCTCTCATAAGAACTCTATCTCTCAGAAAAACTAAAGACGAGCCAAATAATATTCAATTTCAAGAACAAGCTCGGAATAATTGTTCAGTTGCACCAACTTCAGGTGATAGACACTTTTACCATCCATATATGCTTCAACTTCCGGTTATATTCCATCCTTTTATCATGCAAGTGCAAGATGTGAAATCTGACGGAAACTGTGGATTTCGAGCCGTAGCTCTCTGTCTCGGTTTTAAGGAGGACGAATGGTTCAAAATTCGATCCAATTTAATCGAAGAACTAGAGTCTCACACAATGGAATATACCGATATGTTTGGAACTCAAGGATGGTATAATGCCTATAACATGTTGAATTTTTTTGCACAAGATCGGTGTGCACCAGTTGAGCACTGGATGACTATGCCGGAGATGGGTGTACTAATTGCTTCCCGATACAATGTGATACTACATGTTTTGAGTATGGCCGGCAGTACAACATATTTACCACTTCGATCTAGCCCACCACCTTGGTACGAGCATGTAGCAATAACCTTTGGTTATGTTAATAATAACCATTATGTCAAGGTAACATTGACAGGAGGGTACCCAATCCCTACAATTGCTCCACAATGGGCTTATTTTAGATATGATTGTGCAAATGCATGGATGACTCCATATATGAATAGGATTGAAAGTTACAATGAGCATGTACGCTCTAATTGTACTCGGGAAAATGTTATATTAGATTGAAATTGAATGAATTTATTTTTTATTTTATTTTTATTGTGAAGTTAATATATTTTTACAATTTTTAGCGATTCAAATTTTATTTATTATATCTCTATAAAAAAAGATAAAATAATGAATACAACAAATTTAAGTTATAAAAAATATTAAAATAACAAAATTAATCATTATTTTGAATTTAAAAATTAAACCATAAACAAAAACAAGTATTGAAAATAGAAAGTTAAAAAAATTATATTGAACAAAAAAAACAAGTATTGAAAATAAAATTTAAAAACATATGTATTGAAAATAAAAATTTTAAAAATAATTACACAAATAATTAAAAAAAAAAAAAAAAAAAGAATAAATCATCGCCTTCTCCGGTGAGAAGGACTGCCTTCTCACCGGAGAAGGCAACTGGGCTGCCTTCTCCGGCGAGAAGGCAGCCCAGTGGGTCGCCTTCTCGCCGGAGAAGGCAGCCCACTGAGTGGGTTGCCTTCTCCGGCGAGAAGGCAACCCACTGTGTGGGCTGCCTTCTCGCCGGAGAAGGCAGCCCAGTTGCCTTCTCCGGTGAGAAGGCAGTCCTTCTCACCGGAGAAGGCGATCATTTTTTTTTTTTTTTTTAATGTTTATTGTTAAAAATAATAAATAATAAATGTTACCACCTACTTTGACTACATTTATTTGCACCACCTACTTTGGTATTTGCACCATCTATTTGACCTATTAAATAGGTGGGTGCAAATAGTAAATAGGGTGGTGCAAATAGAACTTCCCTTGCACCACCCATATTTACTACCTTTTTACATTTTCAAAGTGCTTTATACCTCATTTTAGTCAATGGGTGGTGCAAATAGCAACACCCTTTACATGGGATCTTGTTTTCTCAGTTCGCCACTTGTTACTCTACTATAGAGTTGACGGTCTTGATTTTCCCAAAAGTAAAATATTTAAAAAATCCTAGTACTAGGAATTCCAAAATTTAAAGGAAAATAAATATTGGCTGACGTGTTGACAGGAAATTTCACCATTAATTAAAGCTAAATATTTAATTGGTGCATATCATGTCATATTTTACTTTGTTTACATATTTTTATTATTCCAAAAGGCTGAAACACAACCCCGACAGAGCATTTTGGGAGGATGTAAATCTTGGTGACTCAACTGAACATGAACCATATGCTCACTGCGCACAAAGAGTCCCCCTCACTTTGAGAGGTTGCTCCCACACTGCCGCTGGTGAGACTTGATCCCTGGTCATTATTCCAAAGTTTCACCTCTATGACCAGTTGAGCTACCCATGCATGCACATATTTTTATTAATTTTAATAGAGAGAGTGAGAGAAACAAAAACCCATGATTCCCTTCTCTTTAGATTAAAATATATTCATCAATCTCTCAATCGTATTATAATTGATTGAAAATCTCTCAATCGTATTATAATTGATTGAAAATACTATTTATAGCAAAATATTGGTTGGTCAAAAGGGATTGAAAAATGAAGAAACAACAAAAGCTTCATAAAGCTTTTTTATTGGCTCAATTTTATATTTTGTATTTTTGTAATTTATAATGACAAGGTATTTCTAAAAAGAAATTTTCAATCACATAGTTTACATCATATTTTTTTTAATGAATCATATCAATATGAAATAAAAAATGAATTATGTAATTTATTTTTCAATGTATAATTTATATAATTAAAGTATTTGTTCCATCTCAACTAAAAGTTTAAGTTAATAGTTTGATTACACATTAATAATTATATATACTCAACACATCGATTAGTTGTAAGCTGATAATAATTAGATTTTACATTAATAATTATATGCTCAACATACATATTATTATGAGTGTGATTTATCTAATACTTTATCCCATAATGACTTCAAGTTCTTCTTTCTCTCCTTTTCCTCTCATTCATATGTGTAATTGTGCAAACCCACTTGCAATGAAAATTTACTTATTGGGATGCTCATAAAGAAAATGAGTTAATACCCAAAATCGTCATCGACTATAGTGGTTTTTCTCAATTTCGTCCTAAACGACTTTGGTGACCTAATATCGTCCCAGACTTTTGTGTTTCGCTCAATTTAGTCCTCCATTTGTTATTCCGTCAAATTGGTGTTAAATTTAGGGACAATTCAGTAATGTCAATATTGATCTCTCTTTACTTTCAACTTGTGAAGTGCGAAATTCCTCTTTCTTGTACGAATTACACCCAGAATTACTCGCGAACCTGCAAATTAAATTTTATATTCGCAATTTTAGGAGTAATTCTGTGACTAATTCGTAAAAAAAAAAAAGGATTTTGCAGTTCACATGTCTATGAGTAAAGAGATGCCAATATTAAAATTACTTAATTGTCTATTTATTTAACACTAAATGGATAGAATAACAAATGAGGGACTAAATTGAGCAAAAACACAAAAGTATGGGACGAAATTGAGCGAAACATAAAAGTTTGGGACGATATTAGGTCACCAAAGTCGTTTAGGACGAAATTGAGAAAAACCACTATAGTCGAGGACGATTTTGGGTATTAACTCTAAAGAAAATTAAGACATAAATGACTAAAATAATGAAATAAAAAAAGAATAAAGAGGAGGAATATCTTTTTGTACCTGTTAGAGGTGACGTGAGGGAAGGATAACTGATAAGGCTTCTGGAAATTGGATTCGTGGATTGTATGGTCCATTGGTGTCGTGTGTGTGTGAGTGGAGCTTTCGTGCAGTCTTTCTGGCAATTATTTCGGTTTCAACAAAACATAAAAATATCTAATCTTCAGACTTTAGATAGAGAAACACAGAGCCGCAGAGGCACTATTTGGGCGTTTTCTTGACTTTCTGAGAGCTTAAGGTTGATGAAAGATGGCCAGTTCTGAGGAAAAAGTGGTTCAAATTCAGTCCGAGGGACAGGATGAGTTGGTCTCTGTCGAGCTTTCTGCACCCCCTTCTTGGAAGAAACTGGTATTTCCATTATTTCCCCTTTTTTGGGGGTCTTCTTGTTCTTCCTTTATTTGATAATTTGAAGTTTTATTTCCTTATGATTTGTTTTCCCCGAGGTTGTTTGTGTTTGGAAAACGTTCGATTTTCTGTTGATGAAACCCTGTACTCTTACTTGCTAACTTTGGGAACTGTGAATTTAAGGAAAGCTTGCTTCCTGCAACTATGGAAATTAAAGGAGAGAGAGTGTCTGGTTGAGACTTGAGACTGTAATTTTTTATTTTTTAAAAAAATTTCTGGAAAATATTTTGGGTCTTTTACAGGAAACATCCCCTTTGATGCTAGCTAGGTTGTTTTTGTACAATTAGATGAGAAGATTAAGAAAGGGAGCTGAGGGTTGGGCTATCCCTGCTATACCCAGTGGTTGTTACTTGTTAAAGACTGATTTTTTATTAGTTTACTGGTGAAAATTAGCATATAAACTTTGGGTATTAGTGAGGTAATACTGGTATGTCCCTCTTTTAGGGAATTCTGGAAAGAACACTGAGAGATCTTTGGACATATGAGAGCTTATTGTGTTGACAAGTAATATTCCCAATAATATTAGGAGAAAACTGCCTTGCTTCTGTCAAGCATATCTATATCCACCTCTAGTTTTTGGTCAAGTGGTGATGGGGATCGAGCTTATACTTCAATATGCTGTCTAGATTGTGTATCGTTTGGAACGTAGTTCAGTTATGTTAAGAGTCCTACATTGAAAATATAAGAGAGAACATATGAGTTTATAAGGCCATGAGTTAAACTAGCTAATTGATTGGATTCAATGTTTTAGTGTGGTTTGGCATCTGTGCATTATAGCCCAGTTGAGTGACCTTTGTAGCTGTTTAATGTTGTCTTCCAAAAGGGAAATGACATCCTTTTTAGCTGTTTAAGGGTTTTAACCATCCTTTGTTTTCTGTGTTGGTATGCAGTACATGCCGACTGAAGGAGGTAGGGTTGTATTCGTTGCTCCTACGGGGGAGGAGATCAATAATAAGAGACAGTTAAGCCAGTATCTAAAATCCCACCCTGGTAACCCTGCATCGTCGGAGTTTGATTGGGGTACTGGGGAGACTCCAAGAAGATCATCGAGGATCAGCGAAAAGAGCAAGGCCAGGCCGTTGACTTCTGAGATCGAGACACACAAGAAGCGGCGCAGGACGTCATCTGGGAGGAAGAAGGACAGCAAGGAAGCCGAAGAAGCAGAGGGGGGCAAGGAGGAGAAAGATAAAGAAGAAGCTGCAAAAGAAACCGAGGGTGAGGAAAAGAAAGTGGTGGAAACTGCTAAAGAAGAGGAAAAGAAAGAGGTGGAAACTGCTAAAGAAGAGACGGAGGACAAGAAAGAAGGTGAAATTCCAAAGGAAGAATCCACCGAGCCTAAAGATGAAGATACCGGTAAAGATGATAAAGTCCTCGATGACTCCAAGGATGGAGCTGCTGAGGTTACGAACGCTGACAAGGCTGAAACAGAATCAAAGAGCACTCAATTAACGTCGAGCGTGGAGGGAACAGATGAAATTAAGGAATCCCCGAAGTTGCAAGAAGAGGAGATTGAAGATAATAAGAAAGGACCCGTAATAGAAAATGGCGTAGGTAGCCAGGCCGGGTTCACAAACACGCCAAATAATCCCTCGCCCGCACCTATTAGCTGCTGAACATGTTACTTTCGTTCGTGTTCAGGTATCCGTGTCTTCTTCTGCTGCAAAACTTGGTGTATTATTCAACATTTTAGATGACTGTAATGTCTGTATGTGGTAGATTTAGTTTTCAGGACTTATTCTACAGATGCTTCTGTGATGACTTTGCAGTAATTAGATTGTGATCTGCTAACCTGTTATTGACATTTATTTCCTTTTGTACTGTAGAATTTGATTTGTATTTGTGGTTGTACTATATGGATGTAATAAGTGTAACCAACTCCTCTTTTGCTAGTTTAATTTCCACTGGCTTATATTTTTTGTTTTCATATTGACCAAGTCTATGGTCATGGAAGCACAAACAAGGAACATTTTTGCACTGGTATTACCTACCCTTGGTGGTCGGAAATTAAGGTAACACGCCAATAATTTAACTGACTAAACTTTTTTTGTCAGATCTTAATCTTCATAAGCGCAAAAGGAATACATGCTTCCAGTAGGGTTCGAACCTTACACTGTTGCCTCCAGTTATGACCTTTAAATCAGGCAATGAATCAACTACACTAAGCTTCAAGGGTCAATCGACTAAAATTTTTGACCACTTTGGAGGGTGGTGGTTGGCAGTACAGAAAAACATTTTTTCGGGTGGGCAAGAAATGGTGTTTCTAGCCCGTACGGGTTTAACTCAATGGTTTAATATGCAGTATTTGGGAGAAGAGATTAAGGTTCGAACCTCGGCGGTCACAGTGTGGGGATTATGCAAAGTGGCAGATCCCTTGTGCGCACCGGCATTTGGTCATGTCTGATTTATTGAAAAATCGTGATTTACATCCTCCAAAATGCTCTGTCGGGCAAGGGTTGGAGATTCAACCTTTTTGGAGAAAAAATGGTGTTTCAAACTAAAAACCCTGGATTCCTGATCAGTTGGAAATAATCATGGGATTTGCAGCAGTGTGTTAAGTTGTGCTGATTTTCCTGGAGTGAAGGTTGTGTTTTTGGTTAATCTTAGGAAAAGAGTATTGTTAAAAGGAAATTTCATTTTGGGGTTTGAAGATACTAAAGAAAACATGAAAAGAAGGGCAATATAATTTAGAAAAGGTATACTTTTGAATTAGAAAAAGAATAAAGACATTTATAAGGTTGGAATCTATTATTAACTTCTGTCACATGAATTTTGTTCTGCACTTGGTCTCTGGACAAAGGTTAAGAATCTCTCCTGGTTTGGTCTATGGCATGCCCAAAGAGAAAGAATTGCATCCTAACTGTTCCTGTTCCTGTTCCCCAGGTTGCCAATCAAGAAACCCCTTAACACTCCGTACTTCTAACTCATCTTTTAAGTACCCTTTCTGCAATGGATTGCCCTTTTGGATTTGTTTCACCTTTCAACACAAAATGTGCTCCTTTCCTCTCATTCTCTCCACCATTCTCCTCCTCACTGTTTCCTCCTCAAATGGTATTTGCACTTTAATTTGCTCTCATCTATCTTTGCATGCATTCTTGAAGCTGCTGACTCTATTACATTGTAGTATCTGTTCAAGAAAGCTAATCTATCTACTTAATTGTGTTTTTGCAGTTTTTGTTGTGCATGCATTTGTGGGCACATATGGAGTGAACTATGGAAGAATAGCAGACAACATCCCGTCGCCTGAGAGCGTTGTGACACTCCTGAGGGCGAACAAGATAAAGAACATCAGGATCTACGACGCTGACCATTCGGTCTTGACAGCGTTTAAAGGCTCTGGAGTGGAGATCATCGTTGGGCTTCCGAACGAGTACCTGAAAGGCATAAGCGCGAGCCAGGACAGCGCGGATGATTGGGTGAAACAGAATGTGGAGGCCTTCCTCCCTGGCACCAAAATTGTTGGAATTGCAGTGGGAAATGAGATTCTTGGAGGGGGTGATGCCCAGCTCTGGGAGGTTTTAGTCCCAGCTGTGAAGAATGTTTATAATGCTCTTGAAACCCTCCATCTCTCCAAGAAGATTGAAGTCTCAAGCCCACATTCAGAAGCTGTGTTTGAGAGCACTTATCCCCCATCAGCAGGAGCCTTCAAGCAAAGCCTTCTGCCATATTTGAGACCACTTCTTCAATTCTTTCACCGCACTGGCTCCCCTTTCTACATCAATGCATACCCCTTTCTGGCATACAAGAATGACCCTTCCCACATTAACCTTCAATACGCGCTTTTCGAGTCGAATGCTGGCATCAATGATGACACCACGAAGCTGCACTACGACAACATGTTCGATGCAATGCTGGATGCATCCTATGTTGCTCTCGAGAAGCTCGGGTTCCCCAAGATGGAGGTCATTGTCTCCGAAACGGGGTGGGCTTCCAAGGGAGACGGGAATGAAGCCGGGGCGAATGTGAAGAATGCTTTGACATACAACAATAATCTGCGAAAACGCCTGATGAAGAAGAAGGGCACTCCTTACAGGCCAAAGGCTGTGGTGAGGGCCTATATTTTTGCTTTGTTCAATGAAAACTTGAAGCCTGGGCCGACTTCTGAGAGGCACTTTGGTCTGTTCAAACATAATGGAGGACTTGCATATAAGAATGGGTTCAAGGGACTCGGTTCGACTTCGGCTGCTGCTGAATCCTTTCTCTCCTACAAGGTACCTCTTTCTCTCAATCTCTCCTGCATATATAAATTCTGGGTTAGTTTAAGTGTTTAACCTTCTCTCTCACATAGAATAATTGATTTGTTTATATGTTGTGTATATGTATCAGGTAAGCTTAATCTGTGCAGCAATGGTGATTCTGCTTTTAGGATCATGATGATTTGCCACAAGGCAATAGAGTCTTGTTTCCAGTTCGGTTATACTTATACACAGATCAGAGTACAAGTTTTTAATTGCTGTTGATTCATGTACTCATTTTATATTGCATTGGATTATGTATGTTCATGGTCTTTGCCATATATATATATATATATATATATATATATATATATATATATATGTATGTATGTATGTCTGTGAGAATTCCATTATGAACCTATCCAAAAGTATTGGGTTGTGATTTCTGATACCACTTGTTAGGATCAAGCACTTATCATTATGTCAAAAACAACGCAACTTTATATAATATTTAGTCCTTACATTACACGGATATCATACTAGTTCTCATATTTGAGACGAAACCACCTTGTTTATGATAAAAAAAAATCAAGAAAAGCATTGTCTCACTCGAATATGAAGTAGCTCCATTTCACCTGGAGACAGAGCAACTACACTCCAATTCACCACACAACAGAAAAGGAAAGAAATTGGAAATAAACTGAAGACCGATAGATACCACAAAAGTGCAGATTTGATGTTGATTACATACAGAGAGATCCCTGTACTGTACGTAAATGATTCCCAATCACCAGTCAGTTTCTATATTAAAGATTTGAGGCCAATCCTGCCCAGTTTTACTCCTGTATCTTTGCTTCAACAGAGGGCAGCCATTGATAGTGAATTTGGTTGAAGAGCTAAGGAGTTGCATTCCTTGTGGCAAAGATGTCAATTTTGGGCAGTTTTTGATCTCAAATTCTATGACTGAAGGCGCCACTTTGGAGGCTTCATCATCATCATCACCCTCCTTCCCCCAGTGCCTCAGGTTTGTGCAATCATGCACCCACACAGATTCCAGAGAAGGGAATAACTCAATCTCCATGTATTCCAAATCACCTACTTCTGAAATCCACAGTTCCTTGAGATACTTGAGAGAAGAGCAGGCTTTTATGGTGTGTTTCAAAGGGTTTACGCTGCCAGTTACAATAAAAAGCTTCTCAGAGACGGTGGGGAAGATTGGGATCCACTTTATATTGGGGGATCGCCGTAGATCGACCACAGAGATACAAGGGAACGGAGGGAGAAGCTCTTCTTCTATGGCATTATCATCCTTCTTCTTCCACCATCCTTTCAGATTTGGACAGTCCCAAATCCAAAGCACTTTGAGACTGAGGAAGAAGAGTTGTGATCTTGAAGGGCTATTGATATTCTCATCCTCATAATAATCAGTAGTATCTATGTAGTCAACCATGATAGACTCAAAGGATAAATCTTCAAGAAAAGGCAAATGATGGAACTGGGGAAGCTGTAACCCAGGCGGACATTTCTTGATATGGATAGTGGTCATGTATGTAGATGCAAATTTCCACCTTCCAATATCTTCTGATGGTGCATTTTGCTTTTGAAAACGCATTCTTTTATCCTTGTTCTTGAGAATCCCATCCAGCCTCTCGTTAATGCTCTTAACCTTCCGGCCTGTTTCGTCCATGATATCCTTGAGCTTTTCCAGCCAATTTTTAGTTTGGTTGTCGTGTTCTTCCTCCTCAGCCTCTATCTGGGAAACCAAGTCTCCCAGTTTGGTAAGCTCTTCGTTTAGACCCCATAACAGTTTGATCTGATCATCGGCAAACGGTGCAATCTTCTGCAGAATTGGCTCTGAAGCATTGATGGCTGTGCTAATTGCTTCTGCCATTCCTCCTCTTCCTCCTCCTCCTTAATCTTTAATGTCTTTTATTAGTGTGCAGACTTGGTCTGTTGATGCATATCCCTTTATATTTATTATATTACCCCCACCAGGCCACAATCATTGTCGGATGAACCATGATCCACACAACTATGTAAATCATATTATCAAATAATATACACTAAGTATATAAATAATGTACATTTAATAGATTAAAAATATACATTATTTGAATATTAAAAGTATATTATTTTGTATAATATACATTCAATACACAAATAACGTACTTTTAATATATTAAAAATATACTTTTTGTTATGATCCACATAACACTGAAGGATAATCCACACAATAATTTGCTACGGGTCACCAATCCTATTATTATTATTATTATTATTATTATTATTATTATTATTATTATTATGGCAAATTATTATTATTATTATTATTATTATTATGGCAAATTATTATTTTAGTATTATTCTTATATTAAATAATAACAAATTATTCTTATTATTAGTATTATTATAATTATAATTACAATTTAATGACAATAATAATATTATTATTTACTTACAATTATGAATATCTCTGGACCTACTAATTGGCCGATACTAGAATTTCAGCTGAGGCATCGATACGTATTTATTTGGAATAACTTTAATTTTGATGTCTGACTTAGGATATTTAAATATGACGGTCAAATGTATATTGATGAACCTCGAGAGGCCCGGATGATTGCCTCATGTGTTTTTAAAAATTGACATACACCTTATCGATAACCTTGTTCATGATCACCACAGAGGTTATGTCCAATGCGCAACTTTGCTAGACTGAGTTGTACTATTATGATACGATCCCACA